AGACAGACAGATGACAGACAGACAGATGACAGATGGACAGACAGATGACGGACGGACAGACAGATGACAGACAGACAGATGACAGATGGACAGACAGACAGATGGACGGACAGACAGACAGACAGACAGACAGATACAGACAGACAACAGACAGATGACAGACAGACAGATGACAGACGGACAGATGACAGACGGACAGATGACAGACGGACAGACAGACAGATGGACAGACAGATGACGGACAGACAGATGACAGACGGACAGATGACAGATGGACAGATGGACGGACAGACAGACAGACAGACAGACAGACACAGATACAGACAGACAACAGACAGATGACAGTCAGACGACAGACAGACAGAGAGATGACAGATGGACGGACGGACGGACGGACAGACAGACAGACAGACGACAGACAGACAGTCAGATAACAGACAGACAGACAAATCACAGATGGACAGACGGACAGACGACAGACAGACAGACAGACAGACAGATGGAAGATGGAAGGACAGACAGACGACAGACAGGCAGGCCACTTGTGTGTTTGATTTGAGCTCTTAATGGTGTGCCCTCTCTCTCAATTCAATTCAAAATTGCTTTATTGCTCTCTCTCTCTCTCTCTGTCTCTCTCTCTCTTCATCAGGCATAAAGCCATCCAGAGTTTGCTTCATCTTCTTCCTCCTCACACAGGAAGGGCCGTGTTTGTTAGTTTCCTCTGGATGTTGATCCTGGGCCGCTGCGGGCAGAGGGACGCGTCTCTCCTAATCCTGCTTCTGTTCTTTCTTCGGTTGACGTGACGTTGTCTCTGGGCTCTTCATCTGCTTCTCTCTCTCTCATCTCTGATGTGTTGATAATCGATGTCGGCACTTTCATCTGTCGCCGTTTCATCGTGGCCTCGCTGACGATGTGCGAACGTTCAGACTGAACTCTTAATTCTGCAGATTTGATGGTTTTGCTCTTTTTGCCATCTGTGGGTTTGAGCAGCTTCTGCTGGTGAACAATCATTGGTGCTTCACAGAAACTTGCTCTTGATACTTTTTATGTTTTTGTAATATGATAAATGATGATTTCATGTCGCTTGAGCACGAACCGAACAACACAAGACGAACGTCACAGACGCTTTCTCTTTAGGCGACGTGTTTTATCTCTCGTGCTCCAGTGTCAAAGTTGTGTTTACAGTGTTCACAGTAACGCTTGCAGTGGGTTCGATGCTTTAGCCAGCAGTGGATATACTCGGGTTCTGTGAAGTATATATCGAATACCTGTGGAAGCTTGATTCCGCCACGCAATTAAAGAAATTTAAAAGGTAATTACAACTTTTTATCTCACAGTTCTGCCTTTATATAAGATCTAATCTCAGAATTGCAAAACAAACCCAAAATTTAATTGCGAACAAACTTAAAATTGTGAAAAACAATTGTGCGATATAAACTCGTAACTGCAAAAACTCATAGTTGCTAAATATTAACTCGTAATTGCGAACAAACTGAAAATTGCTAAATAATTTAGAAGTGTGACATATAAACTCATGACTGCGAAACGAACTCATAATCGCAAAATATAAACTCATAATTGTGAACAAACTTAAAATTGCGAAATAAACAACTCGTAATTGCGAAATATTAACTTATAATTGTGAAAAAGTCTGAATTGCGAAACAAACTCAGAATTGCAAGAAAAAAGGTCTGAATGGTGAGATGAAAAATTCACAATTACCTTTTTTTTTTTAATCTGGTGGCATAAACAAGCTTGCATATGTATCAGCTAGTCACACTAACGAGAAGTGCTCTTTGGTCCTGTGTGCATTCAGCAGCAGTGGTGAGACAGATGCTCATATTTCACCTGCAAAGGGAACAGTATTCAGAGAGCCAGAACATTTCAGACGTGCGTTAGACTCGATCCATGTGAAGTTTGGTGACGGCGACTGAAGCCATTCTGCTGCAGTAAAGCATCTCATTGAGCCAAACACAGAGATGTTTAAGTCAAGTCACCTTTATTTATACAGTGCTTTTAACAACACAGATGTGTCAAAGCAGCTGAACAGTGTCTAATAGGAAAATAGTGCGTCATTAATGCAGAAGGACAACAGTAAACACTCAATGTTCAGTTAAAGGCAGTTCATCATTGAATTCAGTGATGTGATCGTCCAGCTCAGCTCAGTTTAAATAATATAAGTCCACGAGATCGCTGGATATGAAGTGTCCCTAACTAAGCAAGCCAGAGGCGACAGCGGCGAGGAACCAAAAGCCAAAACTTTAACACAGATCACGCTCCATAAAAAGCCTTAAAGACGCGTCGCAGCAGCTGATGTGACTGTATTATATCACCGAATGTGCTGCAGGTCAATTATTACCCATTTTCACTCACCGTGTTTGACTCATTCCACACGCACACGTGCTGATGATGATGATGCAGTACAAAATTAACAAGCGTTTCTCTTTATGACGGACGTTTTTATGCTGTGTGTCGTGGATTGCTGCGTATTTATTGATGGTTTATCTTAGTTTTACCGCGAGCGTTTGTTCACTATCATAGCGAGTAGATCTACAGTAAATATATGTGAAAGTATTACTCCACTGCATCGTGACGTTTGTTGATATTCTCAATAAAGGTTTATTTCTGAAGTTTCTCATCGTTCTGTATCAGTGTGTGTTTAATAATGATGATCTGTTTCTGTATTGAGGTCACGTGCTTCGAATGTTATTTAATAAATAATAAAACAGTTTAATAATGTGTATCTGAGTAGTCTGGTTATATTTGGCATGACTTTATTCTTTCATCAGAGTGACGAGGTGGTTTTAGAGCTGGTGGGGCATGTAAAGGCCTCGTTCACCCAAACACGACCGTTCTGATGTTATTTACTCCTTCCAGACCTGTATGACTTTCCTTCTTCTGTGGAACATTAAAGAAGATATTGGGAAGAATGTTTCAGTTCCCATTGACTCACACTGTATTGTTGTGTGTTTAATGGAGGACGGTGGCGTCTGAAACTGTCTGCTTGGTTTTTGGGTGGACCGTTCCTTTAAAGCAGCGATGGTGATCACATGATCCTGTACATGATGAACACACTGGATCCAGCAGAGCGTGTGTGTGAGTGTGTGTGAGTGTGTGTGTGTGTGTGTGTGTGTGATTCACTTTTTGCATAATTTCTTATTCATTATGGTTGTCTGCATTGATCTTGTATATGAAGTGCAGGCAGCATAACTGTAAAATAACTTTACACTCAAAGACATGTTTAATTTATCGTTTGTAGCAGATGTTAATATGACATATTATAAGCCCAAAACAAAAGACAAACAATCATCTGCTATGATGGTTAACTTAAAACTAACTAGGATTTCTAACCAGGTATCAGACAGAACAACAAAAAGCAGTCAGTCAATGGACTGGGTCTGAGGTCCAGTGAGGGTCACGTTACACGTGTTTAGTTTCTCACTGAAAGCAGAAGTGAGTCCATGTGCAGAGGAAGAGCTCAATGCTTTCATCATGAACAGGAAGTGAGTGTGTGAGTGTGTGTGTGTGTGAGTATGTGAGAAAGTGAGTGTGTGAGTGAGTGAGTGAGTGAGTGTGTGAGTGTGTGTGTGTGAGTATGTGAGAAAGTGAGTGTGTGAGTGTGTGAGTGAGTGAGTGAGTGAGTGAGTGTGTGTGTGTGTGTGTGTGTGTGAGAAAGTGAGTGAGTGTGTGTGTGTGTGAGTGTGTGTGTGTTGTGCAGTATATTAAGTGTGTGTGTGTGTGTGTGTTGCAGTATATTTTGTGTGTGTTGTTCAGTATGTTAAGTGTGTGTGTG